AAGTGAGGACAGTAATAGGTCTGTGGGGAGGATTATCAACATGTCTAGAGCAGGGCCTGGAGCATAGAAAGCGTTAACACGTTAATACATAACTGTTAGCAGCGATTAGTGCAACTAATTGAAAGTGGATGATAGTATATGGATACAATTTTAAAAATAACACGAGGTTGCCCTGGCCGGGAGCTCAGCTGGTTAGAGTGTCATCCCGATACACCGAGGTTGGATACACATATGAGAATCAACCAATGAATGCATAAATAAGTGGAACAACAAATTGATCTCTCTCTCTTGCTAAAAATCAATTAATAAAAAATTTAAAAAACACACAAAAAACCATGAGGTCCCAGGGGAATGTGAGTGGTTCAGTGTTTCTTTATTTCTGAGATTTTTCTTTTTTCAATACGTTTTTATTGATTTTTTAAAGAATGGAAGGGAACAAGAGATAGAAACACGGACCTGAGAAACATTGATCACCTGTCTCCTGCACGCCCCCTACTGGGGATCGAGCCCACAACCTGGGCATGTGCGCTGACTGGAACCTCTCAGTCCATGGGTACTCCATCCACTGAGCCACACCAGCTGGGCTATTTCTGAGATTTCTATAGCAGTAACAAGGCTCCCAGCTTACTGAGATACAGACATGACAATGAAGAAGAGTTGGGCTGCTCTGGCCCTAGGATCTCCATGTCTTCTCATTAAAAATTTGCTTTAGCCCTGGTTGGTTTGGCTCAGCGGTTGGAGCGTTGGCCTGCAGAGCAAAGAGTAGTAGGTTCGATTCCGGTCAAGGGCACGTATCTCAGTTGCGGTTTGGTCCCCAGCCGTGGTTGGGGTCAAGTGGGAGGCAACCAGTCAATGTGTCTCTCTCACATCAATGTTTCTCTCCCTCTCCCTCTCTCCAACTCTCTCTGAAGATAAATGGAAAAATATCCTCAGGTGAGGATTAAAAATTTGCTTCCTCAGCTGTTTTGTTCAACACTGCACCCTCAATCAGTATTGGCTAATGACTGAATTCATACATTTATGACTCTATTCCGAGACAGACAGGAGGATGGCCACAAGGAAGGAAGTCTAGCTGGGACTGTGGATTTTCTGGGGGAAAGGAGAGAAACATTTAAAATATTGAGGAGGATTGTATGCATAGGAATGAATGAGTAAGTGTAGCTGTTGTCTGATGGATTCTGAGCCCGGAGACAAAAAATAGAGGATAGCTGTGCAGTCGGACAAGCTGGCCCAAAGAACCACGGGGCTTGGGTTTTGTTTTTAATGAAGTCAGGTATCTTAAGAAGGCAGTGAGGGCATTTCTTTTTGCCTGGTATTCTGAGAGATTTCCAGTTTTTAAAAGGGATCATTCTGAAGGTGTCACAAAGAACACCCTATTAGAGTGTCTGTCTCCCTGGAAATGAATCCCTCTTTGTACTCAGGGTGTTTCTCTGTTAATAAGAGCCTCCTACCATGACCCCAGGTTTCACAGCCTCCCTAAAAGTGAAAGCTGCTCTTTGTGTAGGCAATTTTTTTCCCCATTCCTAAACACACTCCTCCCCAATTGGGGTCACAGTCATGCCATTGCTATTAAATGTATCACCACTGAATCAAAGGACAAGCCACAGCAGCTGCCTTTGTTTCCTCCTCTTCCTCATTGTGTTTATTTAGGTTGAAGTAGATCTCAATAAAAGTCAGCAAGCATTTACCCAGCACCCACTGGGAGCAGAGCCGAGCGCCAGGTCCCACATACACACAACACGAAGTTGGCTGGACATGGTTTCTGGCCTCAGAATCTTGTGTCAGCTTGAAGACGATTATAATATCTGGCAGAATGTTTCGGTATCTCTCTTCAACCCTTCCAGGCTATAGGTTTCTCTGAATTTGGCTCGTTGCTCTAGAATATTCCGTTGCAGGAACATAAGATTGAACAGAAGTCTCTAAGAACCCTTCCTGATCCCTACCCCTGAATGCTGTCTGTACTTTCTCTCTCCCAGGACTTGCCTCCTTTCCATCATGTCACTTGTTTATGGACACGTCAGCCTCCATACTCCAGGAAGGGAACAGATGCAGAATGGTGTCCGAGGAGCGGAGCCAGCCTATGAGGGCCTGTTTTTGAAGCCAGACTCAGAGATAAATCAACCATACACTCTGTGTAACTCAATCTCTAGCACCCTCAGTCCTGGGTCTAGAATGGAAAGATAATAATAATGCCGGTTTCACAGAATGGATGTGAGAATTTATGTAGTTATTACATGAACCCACGTGCGAACTATTATCCATGTTAATTTTATTATCCCCTATGTCTCGAAGAAATACTCTGTTAGTATTCATGAAATGATTACCACCCACCCTGCGGTGTGTGATTCTTCTCACTCACATTCTTTCCTGGGCCCACCTTGTTGGCAAGGCTGACCTGTAGTACCGACTAGGTTCAGGGTGGAGTGTTTGTAGGGATTAAACAGGATCAAAGGGGCATCTTGCTGGTGGAGCTACCTACCCTTTTAGGTAGTAGGGTCCAATGCCCCTCTCCTCAAGCTTCCTATATCTTGCTTCTATCTTTTAAAATTTTTATTAATGTCTCTTTTTTTTTAATATGTTTTTATTGATTTTTTTTTTTTAGAGAGAGAGGAAGGGAGAGGGAGAGAGAGAGAGAAACATCGATCAGCTGCCTCCTGCACGCCCCACACAGGGATGGAGCTGGCAACCTGGGCATGTACCCTGACTGGGAATGGAACCAGCAACCTCTTGGTGCAGGAAACGATGCTCAATCACTGAGCCACACTGGTCGGGCCTCTTACTTCTATCTTAAGGGTAGATAATTCCAGGGAGGCTCTGATAGTTAAAATATGGACTTTGGAATATGATAGTCCTGGGTTCAAGTCTTGGATCCGCCAGTTTATTAGTTTTGTGCTACAGGCTGATTTAAATTTTTTTCTGAGCTCTAGTTTTCTCATCTGTGAAATGAAGACAACACGGAATTTGATAATAATAAAAACTAGACAATGTGTTAAAATGAGATCGCCTGAGGAATTAGTGAGTTAAAGAAACTGAATGAGCAGTAACTACAAGAATAGCCATCCTTAGCCCCTAGATATTAACTGAGCAATTACTGTGGTCGAAGCACTATACAGGTGCTGGAGATAGACCCTGTCATCAGGGGGAGAGTCAGATGAGTAACTGATGACTGCCCCTAGTGCGGCCAACGCTAGGCCAGAACTAAGAACAGGAAGCAGGAGGGGAGGCACCTCCCTGACAGCCCTGGCCAGGAGGGCGTCAGGAGCTGTCAGGGAGGGCTTCCTGGAGGAGGCGATCACTGTGAAGAAGCTTGCCGGTGGAGTGGAAGTAAGCCACGTGGACAGAGCACTGAGCTGGGCACAGCTCGGAGAAGACGCAGAGCAGCTCTGAAAACATGGGGCCCTGCCGGTGTGCACCTAGGTGCCAGGCGGGCGTCAATTTGCTTTGTGAACGAACGAATTCATGCCTCCTTGGCGGGAAGGGGCAGGCACTGGCGGGTGAGCCCCTCCCCGACGGAGGACCCTGAGCGGGGAGCACCCGGTAAGGAGTGTCCGGGCGTCCGGGTGCAGGCGTGGAGCGTCACCGATGCTCACACCTTGCTCAACCACGAGCAAGGGCACGCACGCGCTCCACCTCCGCCGTGTCGTGGCCCGGCAGCGAGGACACGCGCCCCTGGGGTTGCTTCGAGGACTAACCAGAATTCCGCACGTAGGTTCGCAGCGGCGTGCGTGTCCCATACGGGCATCTGAATAAACACCGGTGGTCCCTGCTTACCCGCCGTGCAGCGAACAGAGCAGAGCACTGCCAGGCCGCTCTCCTTCCTTCCCTCCCTCTCCTCTCCCGGCGGCGCAAGCGGCAGCGGGGCAGCGCCAGGACGCGGAGGACGTCCGCCCGGACGCGCATCCGAGTGGTGATTACCAAGCGGCCGCACGCAACCCGGGGCCCAGCACCCGAGCGGGCGAGGGCGGCGCATGCTCAGTGAGCCGAGCCTCGGGCGGCGACGCCTGCGGCGGGAGGAAAGCCGGTCAGGGGGCGTGCCAGGGGGCGTGGCCGAGGGCGAGGCTGGGGCGTGGCCGGGAAGGGAGCGAGGCTGGGCATGCTCAGTGCTTCCGGGCCGAGATGCCTGCGGCTGAAGGGAAGCCTGTCAGGGGAGGGTACGGGGGCGTGGCCGAGGGCGTGGGCAGGGCCAAACAAGGCTGGGCATGCTCAGTGCGCCGGGCCTCCGGGCCGAGATGCCTACGGCTGAAGGGATGCCGGTCGGGGGCGGGGCTGAGAGCGAGGCTGGGCATGCTCAGTGTGCCGGGCCTCGGGGCCAGGATCCCTGCGGCTGAAGAAAAATGAAGCTGGGGCGGACCTGGGGGCGGGCCCGGGGGCGGGGCCTGCCAGGGGCGGGGCCGCGCGAGGGCGCATGCTCAGTACCCGCAGCTGCTCCCTCGGTCCAGTGCCGCAGCCGGAAAACCGCAGCGGTGGCGGCGGAGGCGGCGGTGGCGGCGGAGGGGGAGCGACGGAGCCGCGCGCGAAGGGGGAAGCACCGGGGGCGTCACTGAAAAGGCGGCAGCCGGGCGCCTGGTTCGCGGTGTCTCGCGGCGCGGCCGACGCGGGCGCGGCGGCGGGGGGCGCGGAGGAGGGCCGGCCGCAGTGATTTTGACGTTTCCGGAGCGTCGTGCCGGCGGCCGCCCCCGCCCGCGCCCCTGCGCCCGCGGCCTGCCGGACGGAGCGGAGCCTCGCGATGGTGGACCCCGGCCCCAGGCGCCAGGGTTGAGCCCCCCGCATCCCCGCGCCTGCAGCCGCCGCCCCCGCCGTGCGGCCGAGCGCAGACAAAGGGGAGCGGCCTCGCTCACGCGCGCTCGCGGGCGGCGCGGGCGGCGGCGGGTCCTGGGCTGGGTGGCGGCCGGAGGCGGGGGCTCCCCGCGCGCGGACACCGAGCCGCCCCGCCGCCCGCGCCTGCGCTCCCGGCCGCGCACCATGTGAGCGCCCGCGCCCGGCGCCGAGCACCCGGGACCATGGGGGACGCCGCGGACTCGCGGGAGCTCCGGAGGACGTTCATTGTCCCCGCCATCAAGCCCTTCGACCACTACGACTTCTCCCGGGCCAAGATCGCCTGCAATCTGGCCTGGCTGGTGGCCAAAGCCTTCGGGACAGGTAGGCGGTGGCGTCCCCGCCCTGCCCCTCGGGAGGCGCGCGCCCCGCGCCCCGCGCCCATCCTCCCGCCGGTCCGCGGTGCCGCCCGCGGGCTCCGCGAGGGGAAGAAGGGAGAGTCACAGCGGGCTGGGGCTGGAACCCAGCGCCCCGGGCTGGCCAGGTGGGGTCTGGCGCGGCTCCTTGGATCGGATCGCAGAGGGGTTTGTTTCTAGGGCAGTTTGTCGCGTTCGACCTACGTGGTTTCATCGGTGCTGTCGTTTCCTCCGATGACCCCCCCCTTGCACACACGCACACTCACACGCACACTCATAATTGGGGCCAGCAAATCGGAGTCGGTGTCTTTATTATTGGAGGACGGGGTGCGTGGGGGGCGTAGTCCTCTCTTGATTCTGACACTTGGGATGATGGCTGCTCCGGCTCCCGCACGTCAGCGCCCAGGTCGACATGCCCCGCGGATTTCTGCTCTGTCCTGAGCCCCGACCGTCCTCCCCTCACGTTACAGACGCTGCACCGCAGTGATTCTACCCCGTGTTTAGCTTGCGGACTGTAGGGTACTGCTTCCATTTCGTCGTCACCAGCGAGACATAGTCCTTTTTCCAAACGGAGTTTGGCTTCATAAATTAAGGGAAACAAAAACTCCCTACCGTGGGATTTTTTTTTTTTTTTAATTATTGTTTGTAAATAGGAGTGTTTTTCAGGGCACGTGCTGTTGATACAAGTTGGCAGTTATTCTGCAGAGACTGGGCAGTCCCCACTACCCAGTCTCTGCAGAATAACAGGAAAAGGGCCCCTCGTTGTCATTCCTTAGCTGCTGCCTTGGGAGCCCATGTTGCGGGACGTTGGAAAAATGAGAGCTTTTCATTTCAAGATGCTCCCATTAGGTAATTGCGTCTGATAACGTTAAGAGTCATTTCGTGAGATTTCAGTGCCCCAGTTAATCAATTTGGGGTCTGTAAGACAGTCCTTGAAAAGTTTCTTACCATTTACAGACTTTTCTCCAGATGTTAAATATAGTTTGGGGGAGGTGGGGGGAGGGGTGGCAATTTCACTTTTAGAGCTGTGAAAATATGTGGGTAAAGATTTAATTCATTCTTACTGCTCAAATACACACAGCTGAATGTTTCTCAGTCTGCACGTTTTAGATGACTAGCCTGTGAATCTCAGGGTCTGGAAAATTATTTGAATTAGTCTTGAGGGAGACTTTACATTAGCATGATCTTATATTTATGACAGCTTTTATTTTATTTGAATTCTCATGCTTTGACATTGAAGTAGAGTAAGATGTTAAATGTTTTAAAACTGGCATCAGGAGTCAATGTAATTTTTAAAAAGTCATTTTGAAATAATTTTAAGGATTTCTTGGGAACTAAATGTGCCCAGTAACACACAGGAGGAGGCACAAGTGCTGGTGTGTTTTTATTTTCTGGCACCAATGATATCAACAGTGAGAATAAAGTATTTGGGTTTTAGTTCAATTAGCATACAGAAACTACCCTTTGGAGGAGAAATGAAAGCTATTAAAGTATCTAGGAAAGATGGAAAGAGGGAAGTGTGTACAGTGACCTGTGTGGAGAGCAGAGGGAACACCAGCAGTGTTTTCTGTCCTTCTGAAACAGAGGACACTCAGCCCTGATGTCCACATGTGGCCCTGGGTTCCCTAAGCTCCTAACCGGGAACGGCCTCCTTTCGGAGCGTCCGCCGGGCAGGTTCACCAGATTCCGGGCGCAGGAAGGACACGCACTGAACACACGCCCGGAAGAGAGGAAGGGAAAGAGTCTAATGCCACAGCATGTCTGCCGCGCCAGGCCCCTTGCTCCAGGCTGTGCACCAGGTTGTCCATTCGGGATTCGAAGCAGCTGGATGATGGAGGGGCTGTGTTCCCCATTCTAAAAAGACAACAGCAGTGCAGAGGTCAGACAACCTTCCCACCTCTCGCACACGTTTCGCAAGGGCAGGGATGAGTGTGTATTTGACTGCATTGCTGCAGACAGGACATGGCTGTAGACTCCAGTCCTGTAAGTGCACTGATTCCTTTCTTCCTCCAGCAGCCCTCCCAGGGCAGCTCTCGTGTAGACGAGCGAGCAGGCTCGGAGGTCAGTTTGCTCTACATCTGGCCGGTGGTGGGTTCTGCATGCTCAGGTTTTCCTGACTCTTAGAGCTTTGCTCTTTACCTCACTTTGCAGAGTAATCTTTTTATCTGCAAGTGTAAAAAATGTGCATGTAATAATATGTGTTAAAAGTCCTTTTTTTTTTCTTTAAACTGTCAGATGGTTTAAATGTATATTGTTGGTACTTAGTAACATGTGCCTTGGCAAGAATTGGAACTGATAGAAAAAATCATGAAGAACAAGCTTAAAAACCTTAGAGTGACTTAGTAACAAAAAGTGAATACATTAGTAACTGCTGCATTTGCACATTGTGTTTATTCTTTAGTCAAGGATCTTTCAAAGTATAAATGTATATGGTGCGAGTAGAAAAAGTAACATTTCAGTGTTCTTCATTTGCTGCAGACATTTAATCAGCAAATGTTAATAGACTATATATTTCAAAGGTTATTACTTGATGATATTCAATTTATCACTCAAAAATTAGCCCAACTTTGCTCTGGCTTACTACAATTATTCTTTAATGGTGAGCTATAGGTCTTCCAGCATGGATGTAGAATGATAAGCATTCTAACTTTTGACATATAAAAAACAGTCATTTAAAAGTATAGCCAGAAATCAGTTGTGGGCATAGAGTGATGTTACTGAGCCATAAAAAACAAAGCATGAGTATTGTAATACCTAGAAAGCAGATGGAGTATCCACGTAATTTGAAGTCTTGTGTCAGAAGCTTTGAATCATCCTTCTCTTTACACTAGAAATAGTCCAAGTGGTCCACATCTTAATAGCTTATTTTGTGGAAGAATGTAGGTGTCGTTTTGATCAAATAAAGAATAAGTTTGTTTAGATGCGTTTTAACCAATAAACAGACACTGATGAAGCAGATTGCGAAAGCGGAGGAAGCTACGCTGTGCTTCTCACCTGAGCAGCCGAACCCACTTAAGCAATGACGGAGTTTGCTTGCAATGTTCTGCTCCCTTCGGAGAAAATGTGGGTGCGGAGCCTCTAATGACACTCTTCCCTACGAAATTCTTGACTTTGGAGATCTTAGCATGGGGTGCCAGGCCCACGTCCTCATGTCAGGGTGTCATTTCCACTTGACCAAGTAGTAGTCTCTCTTTCATACCACTTAGTTTAGTAGAACATCAAATCATCTGCTATTCTGAAGGCACCTCGATCCATTCTGCACGCACCGCAGCGCACATCCTAGTCCCGAGCCTCCGTAGCACCGACTCCTGTGCCTACGCGAGGGGTGCGGGTGGTGCCGGCCCGGTGCAAGCTGACCCCGAGCCGGGAGTGGGTGGGAAGGAGGGGAGCTGCGCACACGCATCCAGCACACACCGTCCCGCGCGCCAGGCCCCACGGGTCTCGCTCACTTCCGTCCTCCTGGCAGCTGAAGAGCTGGAGACTGTTCGTCATTCGTTTCACAGATGAGGAGCCCGAGGCGCAGGGCTCGGGAGCTCGTCCAGAGCCCCCAGCTTGCAGAGCCGGGATCTGAACCCGGAGGCCTGGCTTCGGTCTGTGTTCTCGGCTGCGGCCCGACATGGGGAGAAGTCTGAGGGATGCAAAGGGGGCATTAGGTAGTGGAGAGGTCATCCTAGTATTTTGAAATGACTGGACTGTGGAAGGGAGCTGCTGAGAGGTGCTGCAGTCCTGCCGGGTGGGCGGCGGGAGGGGCGGTGGGGCTCTCGAAGCTCAGGAGCGCTGCCCCCACCTCACACGTCTCTTGATGAGTGGGGGAGGGGGGCGAGCTTTCCGCTGCCACCTCTCAGGACAGCTCTGTTTCGGAACTTCTCATTCTTCCGGTTCTGCCTGGTGCCTGCTGTGCTGGGCACTGTTCTAGGTGCTGGGCACCAGGCAGAGACGTGCCAGTCATTGCGGGAGCAGGCAGCAGTGGGCACACCTAGGCATTGTAGGAAGGTGACTGGTGGGCGGTCAGGGAGGCTGCATGTGGGAGAAGACACTTGACTGGGACTGAGTGGAAAGAGCAGCCGCGGAAGGTCAGGAGGAACGGCCAGTGCGCAGCGTCTGCAGCACGGCCCGGGCGAGGGGCGGCCATTGGAGTGGAGAGCAGTCGTCATGGGCACATCTGTGGGGTTGGGCAGCGTGGACTCAGAGAAGGTGACCATTGCACTCCAGACCCTATGTCAAGTGCATGGTGAATGACCGCTCGTCTTGACCCCGGGCCCCAGCTGCTCCCGCTCACCGCGCTGTCTCTGTACCAGCGCGTGCAGGTTCGTGGCCCCGCTGCACAAGGCGAGTGGCCTGGGGAGCCCTTCATGGTTTAAAGCGCCCTGTGCACGTACTGGAGGGTGGACGTCGCTGGTAGCCACCTGGTGTGACAAGGTGATAGATGGCTGTCTTGAGCAATATCACCTCTGCTCCCTCTGCCCGCACCCCAAGCATTTCAGGTGATGGCGAATTTCAAAACTTAGATCTCCTCAGATTTATAATGACACGGTCGGGTGGGTTGTGCTCACAGCCGGTGCACAAGAAAAACGAGTCTCTCCTCCTCGGCAGTTCTGGGAGTGCTGTTTCCCACACCCGCCCCTTGGGTCACTTACTATCTTTATCTTTGTTCACTGCAGATGGGGAGAGGGTGAAACCTCTTATCCTTGATTTGCCTATTTATCTTCTGATATGTTGTTTCGGTTCATTTGTTTCAAAATGTGATGGTACAAGTCCAAAATGTTTCTTAAGTGATGGTAGTCTTTCCCAGCTGGTGTGGCTCAGTGGTTGAGCGTCTACCCTGCACCAAGAGGTTGCTGGTTCAATTCCCAATCAAGGCACATACCCGGGTTTTGGGCCTGATCCCCAGTGGGAGGAATGCAGGTAGTAGATGTTCTTTCTCATCAATGTTTCTCTCTCTCTCCCTCTCCCTTCTTCTTTCTCAAAAACCAATAAAGAAAAACATTGTTTAGAAAAACAACAAAACAAGGATGGTAGTCTTGTACTAATTGGCAGAAATGCTAGACATTTTCAAAGTCGTCTCTTAAGCATATTTAGTTCATAAAGACTTGGTTTTAAAAGTGACCTGTTTTGTAATATTCTCTATGCAGTTTTGCCTACTTTGATGTGGAAAAGTTTGTTTTTGTCATTTCTCGAAACAGTTTTTGACTTGCTGTGGCCCCTTTCCCTTTCCTTGCGTTGGGGTCTTTTGGATGCTCATGCTGTTATAACTTGGGTTTGTGATAGCAAAAGGGAGGTGACCCTGAGCTATCTGTCTTCACCTTCTAGCCTTGGGATCTGGTGGACGGTTGTCACTGGGCTGTGTTTAGCCGGACGGTTAGAGCCAGGGCTGTGCTTTGTCAGCTCTGTGCCGCGGGTGTGATCATCGGTCTCAGGCTCCTTGTCTGCAGAATGGGACCCAGAAGCTGTTAGGATAGGATGGCAGAAGCGAGTTCCGGGAGGTGTCTGATGCCTGGAGGGGCCTTAGCACCTATCAGTGCACCCTCACGTTTTCTGTACGTGGTCTGATTTGCCAGCTTCCTCGAGTTGCGATCAAGACCAGTGTGGGACAGAGGTGAGCAGCAGTGGGTGCTGGAGGGTGCGCGGGGGCGATGGAGACGCTTGTGACCCTGACGGCGAGCAGCCTTTTCTCCGCACAGCTGACGTTCAGATACAGGAAATAAAAATCCATTATGTAGACCTTTTACGATGATTATCTTAAACCGAATGGTTTTCCCTTTTAGAGCAGTTCCCGGCAGCTCCCGTGTCGGTGGCCACTCGGCGTGCGGTGGCTGCAGCCCAGCTGTGTCCTGCGAGGCCGCCGGCAGGGGGAAGGCCGGCTCACCACTGGTTAACGAAGCTGTGAGGGCAGGAACGTGTTTTCAATTATTAAATGAGGATGATATTTTTAGATGTCACCAAAATTGCTACATCTACTCTTGACCTCTTTCCAGAGTCCTGCATGATCCTCGGCTGCTTTGTGTGTGTTTCCACTTGGACGTCTCTGCTGACATTTGTCTGCCAACTCGTGCGTCCCCTCCCGGTGCTCCCCTCCCCGTGCGGCCGCAGCTCCGGCTCCCCGCCTCAGCGCTGAGACCAGATGGCTGCCCCGAACAGCCCTCAGCGCCTCTCTGTGGAAGCCGGCACAATTTCTTTTTTAAAATTTTTATGTGTTTTTATTGATTTTTTAGAGAGAGAGGAAGGGAAAGAGAGAGGGCAACTGCGATGTGAGAGACAAACATCCATGGGCCGCCTCCTGCACGCCCCCTACTGGGGATCGAGCCGAACACCAGGCATGTGCCCTGACCCGGAATCGAACCGGGACCTCTCAGTCCATGGGAGGGTGCTCAGTCCACTGAGCCGCACCGGCCGGGCAGCACCAGTTCGTGTGGCTGTCATGCACAGGCCCCGCCCTTAAAGAGGGAGCACTTTCAAGTCTGATCTCCGCCTCCACCGCGGCTTCACCTTCCACTGTCCCTCCTGCGGGGACCGGTCTCGCTCACCCAGACTTCAGTTTTCTGCCCCCCCCCCCCAGTTCTGTCCAGAAAGCCCCTTTTTCTGATTGAACAAATTCTGCCGGTGCTCCCTGTCCTGTTTCTTTAAAGCGAGACCTGTCCACCCGCTGTTGGCGTTTATCCCTCTGAACTTGAAGCACTTCATTGTCCATTTCGTTCATCTGCTGCTTCACCGTCTACGGCTTGGTGTTGTCTCCGGTTTCTGAGGTGTGGACTTCCCCCGTCTTTCTGGACTCTGTAGATCATCGGCTCCTTAGGGATTGTTTCGAACCCCTTGACTTCCCAGAGTCGCGCTGGCGTAGAGAGTGAACACGCAACACTGGCTTTAACTTTGTTTGATAAACATTTTTCTACGTGATAGACGTTACAACCTTTAAGTTAAAAATTGCCGAAGACTTTATTAATTCTTTGTGAATATTGTTTTGAAATGCAGACCTTGATTAGCACCGTGCATTATTGACCTTATATTGAAGCCGTGTGTTTGGGAGACTCCCAGCATTGTGACGCCGGGTGGCTGCCCGGACCCTCGCTTTCCTGGAGCCGGCAGGCGAGGGACTGGGAGTGTGGCTCCATGTCACCCTGGAGCCCGGGTGCCCCTTCCTCGTGGGGACAGACCTGGTTCTCCTGGCTTTGGTGGAAAGCATGGTGCTGGTCAGGAAGGGGGCGGAAGCGGGATCCAGGGCAGAGAAGGCAGGGGACGGCGACAGGTGTTCCGTGTGGCTTGTGCTTGGTGATCTTGCTGCCGTCCCTGAGGTGGACCTGGACGTGGACCTTGGCGGGGCAGGCCTGCTCCTCAAGGACGGCGCCCAGCAGGAAGGAGGATCTGGCCTCCCTGTCAGGTCCCATGTGTAAACGGCCCTTTGTGTGTCTCCATTGGGGGGGGGGGCGTGGCCTGTGGGAAGGTGGAGACTCGGGGTGTGCAGGGAAAGGGGTTTTCACAGGAGTTCTTGGGCGAGGCCAGCAGTCTCCTGAAATAGCTGTCATCTCCCTTTCGCTTAACCGGGAGGGAAGTCACTAGAGTCGTTTCGGAGCTCACTGAGTGCACTTGCGTGAGCGCGGGGACACCTTCCCCAGAGCCAGTGGCCTGGCCCCTCCTCCTGGTCTACTTGTAGTCCCTTCAGAACACGCCCGGGACGGAGAGTTCTGTGGAGGACACTTCTCTCACTCGGTCCAGGTGATTGGTCAGGTGCTGTAAGCCGTCTTCTCACTTAGAGGCCACTTTGCTTCCAGAAGGAAACTTAGCTTCTGTGACATGAATAGTGATTATGAAATAGATTGTGTTTCCTTTATAAAACTCCTGTAAGCATCTTCCTGCCATATGCCTCCTAGAAAATGTGCCGGAGGACCTCCGAGAGCCGTTCTACACAGACCAGTACGACCAGGAGCACATCAAGCCCCCCGTGGTCCACCTGCTCCTGTCGGCCGAGCTGTACTGCCGGGCGGGCAGCCTCATCCTCAAGAGCGATGCCGCCAAGCCCCTGCTGGGCCACGACGCCGTGATCCAGGCCCTGGCACAGAAGGGCCTCTATGTCACCGACCAAGAGAAGCTGGTGACTGAGCGAGATCTGCAGAAGAAGCCCATTCAGATGGTGAGTCTCCATGTCCCGGGCCATTCTGCCTGAAGGGTGTGCTTTTAAATCCTCCCCCGAGGATATTTCTCCTTTGATTTTCAGACGGGGAGAGAGAGAGAAACATCAATGTGAGACACATTAATTGGTTGCCTCCCACACGGCCCCAACAAGGGTTGGGGATCAAACTGCAAGTGAGGTACGTGCCCTTGACAGGAATCGAACCCGAGACTTCTTTGGTCTGTGGGCCGATGCTCTGACCGCTGAGCCAAACCGGCCAGGGCGGAGGGGCGTGCTCCTGAGTGTGCACTGTGTGCTGTGTTCACTCCCACGCTTGAATGACCTCTTGGTACATTTCTGCCTATCAGATCTTTTCGTGTATTTAGTAAACATGACTTCATTCCATGGCGAACACCACGGCGGCCCGTGAGCTGGCCGGCCGAGCAGGCAGGGATGCCCGCAGGGGACCCCTGGAGACGAAGCCGCGTTCGGTTCGCTGTTGGCCGCCTCGGCCTGTTGTCCTCCTCCCGCTCCGGCTGGAGAATGCCGGGCTCATCGCTGGTGTCAGGAGCGTCTGCAGGTTGGAGGCAGTCAGCTCTTCTAGCGCGGCCTGAGGAAGGGAGGAGTGTGGGGAGAACGTGTGGAGAAGTGTGTGACACTGTGAAATGGAGGAAGAACGGGCAGTCCGTGTGCCGGCCTGGCACTGGGTGCGGTGGTGGCCCACTGCGCTTTCTGTCTGTTTTTTTCCTTCTTGAAAACCCATTTTATTACTTCCAAGGAATGGAAAATAATTCTTTTTTTTTTTTTATCCTCACCCGAGGATATTTTTCCATTTTTTGTACAGATAGAGTGGGAGGGAGAGAGAGGAAGGGAGAGAGAGAGAAACATCGACGTGAAGGGACACATCGAGTGGCTGCCACCCGCACGACCAACCAGGGCCGGGGACAAACTGCAACCGAGGTACGTGCCCTTAGCGGGAACTGAACCCGGGTCTCTCCGGACCGCAGGCCGACGCTCTAACCGCTGAGCAAACAGGCCAGGGCTGGAAAATAATTCTTAAGAAAAGCTTAGCTCCAGGTTTAGGAGCAGAGGTGAGGTTTTCAGCCTCCATCGATGGCCTCAGAGTCACCCGCGCTCGCCCCCGGTTTCCGTGCGCCTGGCGTGGGGCAGACGCACCGCACTGGGCCGCGCTCTCCGCTGGTCCCAGGCTGAGGGCAGGTCCCGGGCGCCTGCCGGTCAGTGTCTGCCAGAGCCGCTCATTCGTCTGCGGAGAACACACACCCTGGGTGTCCTTGCAGGAGAGCGAGGCGCACCTGTGGCCCCTGCTTTGCTCCCCTGGTGCAGCCTGTGCGAGGACAGCAGCCGGCTGCCGGGCGCGTTGCTGCTGCTGCTTCTCACACGATGGGCTGCTGATAGCCGTGAGCACGTGCGATCTGACTGCAGGGCTGATGTGTGCGGAAGGTGATGAGAGGTTAGGAATCCTGGTTTCTCTGGTTCTAGCTCCCTGTGGGTTGACTCTGTCATCTTAACCCTTTGCAGTCTCACATTTGTTGACCTATGTTTTAATCATATACTTTCAGTTTTTGTTACAATTTGATTTAAAGTTTTCCAATTGATGTGAAATTTTGATGAATTATACTATTTTTCTGAAAGCAATGTGAGAAAATTGCTTAGTGTGCTAGTGAGCACTGTTCCTTAGGGACCTGTTTTGTTTGGTGTTGAAGTGATAAGAGTGATAAGTAGCTGGTTTCTTCTTTGTCCTGGTTTTTAGGAAGGATATTGGAAAAGAGTGAGCTTGCATGCCCTGGGTACACTGCCCCACCCTGCCTTCCCCGAATTATCGCAACTTTTGGGGTCTTTTCTTTCTGCGTGCTGCCTTTCAGCTTCCTGGGGGGATTGTGTAGTGGTAACAAAAGGGTCATAAGCTGGTGCAGTGGGACTGTGCGCCTGTGTCCCTGTGAGACTGTGCGCCTGTGTCCCTGTGGGACTGTGCGCCTGTGTCCCTGTGGGACTGTGCGCCTGTGTCCCTGTGGGACTGTGCACCTGTGTCCCTGTGAGACTGTGCGCCTGTGGGACTGTGCGCCTGTGTCCCTGTGGGACTGTGCGCCTGTGTCCCTGTGGGACTGTGCGCCTGTGTCCCTGTGCGCCTGTGTCCCTGTGAGACTGTGCGCCTGTGGGACTGTAGGACTGTTGATTTCAGGGCGGTGATTGAGAAGGATGCTCTTTAAAAATGGGGACACGGCCCCGGCCAGTTGCTCAGTGGTTAGAGCATCAGCCCGCAAACCGGAGAGTCCCGGGTTTGGTTCCCACTGAGGACACGTACCTTGGTTGCAGTTTGTCCCCAGCCCCGGTTGGGGTCGTATGGGTAGCAACCACTCGATGTGTTTATTTCACATGGATGTTTCTCTCCCTCTCTCCCTCTCTCCCTCCTGCTCTATCTGAAGATAAATGCAAAAATGTCCTCGGGTGAGGATAAAAAAAAAATGGGGACACGTCAGGGAGTGTATGCTTTATATCACAGTGCTTTTGAAGACAGGTTTTTGAGAGCATAGCCTTTAAAATGTTGTCTGTAGCCCTGGCCGGTTTGGCTCAGGGTTAGAGCGTCGGCCTGCGGTCCAGAGAGACCCGGGTTCGGTTCCCGCTAAGGGCATGTACTTCGGTTGCAGTTTGTCCCCGGCCCTGGTTGGTCGTGCGGGTGGCAGCCACTCGATGTGTCCCTTCACATCGATGTTTCTCTCTCTCCCTTCCTCTCTCTCCCTCCCACTCTATCTGTACAAAAAATGGAAAAATGTCCTCGGGTGAGGATAAAAAAAAATAAAAAAATAAAATGTTGTCTGTATATCAATGGAAAAGTATTTTCAGACACTGTGTTTTAAATCCTGTCAATAGTTATAATGTTGTGGTAAAATTGTTTAGCATATAGCACTATTTCTGAAACTGTGACCTGCCTAGCCTAATGCCTAGCACACATGTGGAGGGAAGGAGAAATGCAGGTAGTACCCAGGCTCAGTGCTCAAAGGCACACTGTCTGAGAGCCAGCGCCGATGTCCCTGAGCCGACGTCACACGTGCGGCTGGATGGCTGCCGGGGACAGGCTTCCCTGCGCTGAGATCACGGGAACGTCTTTCAGCCCAAATCACGTCATCTGTCAAGTCATCTGTCTAAATAAGTAAGTGATGTCTGGGATGAGGTAGAAATTGAGGGACTTAAGGCAAATGAAGCCACGTGCTTAAGTGAAAAGGACAGCCTAAGGGTGCGGAGACGGGTTTGAAGGGTCTTGTGTAGCAGGAGGACGGTGCACGTGTACTGCGTTCAGTGTCTTCAGTCGTCAGGTCGGGCTGGGGACCTGATCAGTGTCACGGATCTTAACGTCATAGAATCGCATTGCCAGAGGGAGCCTGCGGAATCAGAAACCAGGATGTGTGAGCCTCCCGGCTGTGGGGGCTGGGAACTCCGAACAGACTCTGCCCACAGTCGGAGCTGCTGACTTAGAACCTCTGCAGAGGGGCGGGACGTGCCGGGCCGCAGCCATCTGATGTTCACGATCGAGACGCACGGGGAACACTGACGTGTCCGAGTCGTTTTGCCACGTGATGCTTAGTTTAGAGAGGGTAGTGATTTGCCCACAATGACTGTTATTTAGCAACAAAGCTAGAATTAGAGTCTGAATGTGCTGGAACCGTGACTTTTTTTTTTTTTTAATCCTTACCCGAATACATTTTCAAATAGAGAAGGAGGGAGAGAGGGAGAGAAACATGGATGTGAGAGAGACACATCAACTGACCGCCACCCACACAATCCCAACCAGGGCCGGGGACACACTGCAACCGAGGTACGTGCCCTTAGCAAGAACCGAACCCCAGTCCCTCAGTTCTGTGGGCTGACGCTCTAACCACTGAGCCAAACCGACCAGGGCTGGAGCTGTGACTTTCTAGTGTGCTGTGCTGTGGCCCACAGGAGGGTGGGCCACTGTGACATCGGAGTCACGTCTACGCGGAGATCTAGCTCAGCTGCAGACTGTGTTCTGGGTCAGACCCCTGGCCATGAGGCAGCTGTCCAGCCGTGTTCGCACGTATGGGGCAAAGTAGGCTGAGAGCTGTTGGTGTGGGAAAGACATGCGGTCATGGTCAGTGTGATGGCTGTAGTAACTGCGTCGGTGCGGATCTTCTTTTGGAAACAGTCATTACTGTACAAACCAAAAGTTTGTTCTGAAGTGCTTTTCTTTCGATGAGTACCAAAAAGAGATTGAATAGTTTGCTTAACAGGACTTAAAGTGGGCTGATAGGTCATTTGATAAGTGTGAAATGTTCTCACGAAGTGTTGTTATTGTTACAATGATATCTTTGGGTATACAGAACGTAGCAGCTGAAAGGTCACTTTACTTCCGTGCTGCTGGCCAGCACCACCCGGGGTAACGGGAAGGCCGGTGCAGCTGTGCAACACCAGGGGCGATGGCGATGGCTCCACCCTCGAGGGCACTCCTGTGTTAGGAGGGGATTCCTTTCACATGGCTGTGGCCCGTGCATCCCACTGACCACGGCCCCTGCTGGACCCACGGAGCTCAGAGCGCAGGGAGGGAGAAGGCTGGACCGAGCGAACCGGGCAGCAGGGCCTGGACTGCAAGCGCACGTCTGATTTCTTGCGGAGGGTCCACCCCTGGGGGGAAGGTTGTTGGGCGTCAGTGGGTCAGGAGGGGTGGGAGAGGGTGGCACCTGGTTTGAAGGGTTGTGCGCCCGAGTGTGCACTGGAGTGTGTGACGTGTTACAGGTGAGTGTCGGCTTCATCGGGGCACAGAGGTGAGCTGAGGCTAAAGTCAGGTTGGGCTGTGAGCCCGAGTTGAGGATTTTAAACTTTTCTTTGGGTTCCAGGGTCAGAGAATGAGTTTTCATACTGTTCTTGGGCTGCTGGGGGTGGTGCTGTGCTGGTTTGTCTCCCCTCCTGTGGGAGAGCCCTGCACCCCCCCCATCCTGATGCTCAGGTCCGCACGTCAGACCTCTGGCTCTTGGACGCAGTTCTGTGCG